AAATGAACACATGTTTGGTAAATAGCTTTTTATGTTCTGTCATTAGCAGATGAGTGTGATGCACAAATATTTAGTTAGGTTGACTCTTCTGCTTGAACTTGAATTGTATAGAAATCTATGATAAGATGACTACTTCTCTCTTGATTTATTCCCTCATTAAATATTGTAAAAATGAGTTCATGGTCTCAATCTCTAGTTTCAAGTATTTTTCCATACAGCACAAATCACGGTCCCTTTTAGAATCATATATAACCAGTGTTGGGCAAGTTACTGAAAATGAGTATTTAGTTACAGTTACTAGTTACTTCTTTTAAAGGTACTTGAATTACTTACCAGTTACTGTGTATCAAAAGTAATGAGTTACTCTGGAAAGCGACTTTTAAGTAACTTTTATGTCTGCTTTTTAAATGTAATGAATATACAGTCAAACACAATAAACATATTTTTTAGACCTATTTATTGTAATCAACAGGGCAACAGGCCTTCAAATCAAGCAGTAGTACAAAAGTCCTTTTTAATACTTAATACAAAATAACTGTTTCAGGCGTTTGCCTGAAGTCAACGGACTCGACAGTTGACAGGATGCATCTCATCTTCAACATAGCGAGCGATCAATCTATTCAGCTCTGCCCGGTTCATCGGCTGCACTGCAGTCCGTGTAAAGTGGAGCCGTGGTTGTTTGCGTGGAGCGGCGCCTGCAGCATCCGCGGGCCGGCGCTCTTTCGTCGTGAGCGACGCGATGCTGTTTACGTGCACGTACGGCGACTATTCTGTGACGCACAACGTTTGGTGGCCACAACTATTTTGTGCTGACGGGCAGCTATTTACTTTTGCCGGCCCTCCGCTTTGCGTCACAAAAGAGAGTAACGCGAGTAACGAACTCATTTCAATTTCAGTAATTGTAACTGCGTTAATTTATTTTAAAAAATACTTCGTTACATGCTTGTTACCGCAAAAAGTAGTGGAATTACAGTAATGCGTTACTTTGTAACGCGTTACTCCCAACACTGTATACAACATAAAAGCTTACTTTAGGGCGGGCTTACTGTGATTGACAGGTCGCTGCCGCCAGATCTGTGTGAGGCGTCAACGTGCCAAAAAGTCTAGATGGCGACAACCGCAATACAAGATGGCCACAGCCAGATGGGCAAACCCTAGGCGTCATACCAGTCAGCACTTTACTCAAGGAAACATGCTGGAAAGACATATTAATGAGCCCAATAATTATTGCTTCTTGCAAGGTATCGACTCATCCGTTTCTCATCCCCGATTCTGTCCTTAATAGAAAAACGGAGCAGTTCCGCATCGATGACGGGCATAATTCAAACCGCCCTCGCCAAGGTAATGTAAAAACCACCCTGTCGCGTTACGCTGTGTCCTCTGTTGCTTTCACAAACCTCCCATTTTGCCGCTAAGAGGCAACACAGACGGCTGAATGCCAACTGTCTGCTAACCGCCAACCTGGATACATTTGGCCGGGTAGCAGAGTACTCAATAATGCATCTGTTCAACAGTCTCTCTCCAGTCAGGTCTGTGTTTTCCGTTTGCATGTGGAGGTGCGCCGACTGAGATGGTGCACACGCTCGTGTGAATTAACCCCCGGGCTCATGAGACACGTGGCAGCGAGCATGACGCTGGAAAGAAAAGGAGAAAAAAAATCATCTTGCAGCCAAAGGCGCTCGCAGGAAGACGGCCATTTTCATCCCTCTGATACAGCTGAGCTGAGCTCAAGGGGTGACCCCACCTCCCCCCACCCCCCCATTTGCCCGACAGCCGTTTGATTGTCCAAGTCAGCACTTTCCCCACCGTGGGACGAATGAAGACAGACAAACTGTGATGTACAGTGAACACGATGACCAGTGAATGCAGCACGAGAGCCTGAACATTTAGCCTCAGGCGATCTGAGTCTATTTACAGACATGTTCACATCCATGAGTGTACTTTAAAAACAACAATTAAAAAGTATTTTAAACTATTAGCTTTAAACATTCCTAAGATTGTGTTTTAAATGGATGTGAAATTAAATATATGTTGATTTAATGGAACCAATAACCTCAAGTTCCTCATCATTGGTTATTGTTTACTCCTCAACAGACCTCATAATTCCATCTAACTCCACTTCTCACAAGCATCTTACAGTCAAACCTCCACAGATCCCTTTCAGAAACCCCAAATAAACACAGAACTCGCTTCCACAGACGCCGCTCCACCCCTCGGTAATGATCCACAACACAGGTACACAACCAGAAACATTTGCTAAGGTACCTCAGCGATAATAAGAATCCTTAAAGTTGCTATTTCAAATATTTGAAGTCTGTGAGTTGGTTTTTACCGTAAACAATTTTACAGTTCAACAATAAACCAGCGCCCTTCATAGTGCAAAATACTGACAAATGAGCCTTAGTCGATATGGACGGCTTCCGTCCTGATGAATGTCTTTCAAGACAGATCAACTACTAATACTGTTTTCCAAAGGGGCCTTTTGCTGTGACACATTAGGAAAAGCCTTGTGGTGTAAATTATCAGTCAAACGGCTGGATTCCATTTAGCTGCTTCGGTTCCCGGGTGCAGGTGTCGTGCATATTAATCGTGACTTAGTGGGAGTGATGTTCTTAATGTTGAAGGAAACACCTGTTGTGACCTTACAGGATCTGCTGAGGAACACATGTGGGTCTGAGTGTCCACTTTGAATAAACACTTTAAATACATTAAAAAAATGGCCGCCGGCGTGGCTGTGGTCCGCACCGCTGGAAATGGATTTTTTAAAATTGTAAATCCCAAATTGAGGCTTTTTAAAATATATAATATGATATTTGTGTTTCTCTGCAGCACTGTGGGTGACAGGTGGAGATAATTCAAGGTGCCCCCCGGACACGTACATCCTATCTGCGCCTCTTTCTATAAGTCACGCCGAGGAATTGGAATAACGCACAGAAACGAGCCCCTGGATGAACATCTGTTCTTTCAAATATTCATTCGTTTTCCCAGGCATTCCTTGCTGTGACTCGACACGACTGTACCGCTGCTACACACATATACTTATATAATATATATATGTATATAACACATAACGTTTTATTCACCAGGTTAAAATCCAACTTTACCTGCTTCTCACGTTAACTCGGCTAACTTAAAGGTTAGCTAGCTAGTAGCCGACCGTTAGCCGACCGATTCCTTGCTAGCAGAGATGAGTCGGGACTTTCGGTAACGACGGATGGAAATGTACGTCGGGGTTACGAAATACAACATTTGATAGTGACGGTTTTCATCTGTGTTTAAAGGTGACGAGGTACCCATGTCTGCGGCGTCCATCCCGTAGCTGACTCCGACGACCGTGTCCCCATCATCGGATGCTGCGGCCCCGGACAGCGGGCTCCCGTCCCCGGCCTCCGACAGCCCGACCGCTCCCTCGGCTGCTGCTTCCATTCAGCCTCCCGGATGATTAAAAATAAATAATAATAACAAATGACAAACTAACAAACGGGCGCAAACGCCTCTTAAGGTCGAGAGGAGAAGAAAAAAAAAAACACCCGCGGGCGACGGAGCGAGGGAACGCGACGTCAGACGGAGGAACGTGTGTCAGTTATCCGCGGTGGTCCCGTCATCTGAGCGGTGTTTCCTCCCGGCGGCGGAGCGGCGTCCCCGCTCCTCTCAGGTCGACTGCACCGCACTTGCTGCTTCTGCTTCTGCTCCCTGTGCTGCTGCTGCTGCTGCTGCTGTCTGGGCTTTCTTTTTTTCCTCCTGTGCCGGACACCGTGGCTGCTCTGCAGCGGGCTTTAGCTCCCCCTGCAGGCGGCCCGGGGGTAGGGGGTGAAGGGTGGACCCGCTACCCGGAGCTCAGCGCGTCCTCTCCGGTGCTCTGAGCTGCTTGCAGAGGTCAAGCTGATCTGGAGGGTCGCTGGATGGTTTGTTGTCATCATTACGCACCAAAGGGGACGCACGAGGGAATGCACTTGTTAGCCCATGTGTAACACAGCAGTCACGTGACTGATGAGAACAAAAAACGGCAGGACGTTCCTGCGCTGTGTAGATGATATGATTGACGTCTTGCATTAAAAACTGGGATAACGCAGGATAACATGTGCAGAGTCTGCGTGCAGTCCTGCTCTCTGTCCTGATCGACTTTTCTCATCCAGACTTCGACCTGTTGACCTCTGCATACGGAAAACGCGTTATTGCATGAACATTTCAAACTCTTCTCACATTGGATGCAAATCCTTGACAAAAATGTGTCTATTTTGGCTCAAAAACACAAAGAATGTTACATCAATACTTTATTTGTTGACAGTGCACCACTTTAAAAGACCAGAACTAATGCATAATTATAATTAATTCCTAATACTATAATATCTCTGTAACTATCTCTTGTAACTAAACTAACATGAGCTTTTTGGGGTTCACTCTACTCTAATTACTGTCCGTTATGACATTATTTACAGAAATCTGTAGTTTTCCTGGCTCAAATAAAACAGACCATTTCTTTGCTTGAATCTTTCAATGTTGTTTATAAGTAAAATGATTGTGATAATCGGACATAGCAAGATATTTTTACCATTTCACAAGGTTTAATTTAAATTATTCTCGTTGGCCTGAAAAGGTTTCACTAAGCCGTATTTCGTAGGCGCATGAAAAGAAGAGGAAAATACAATCTTTTGCCTCCTCGTACGGATAAATTTGCCTTATTACATGGTCTAAATGTAAAACTGTGCCTTTCATCTATGTATTGAGTTGATGTGATAAGGGTTCAATATCCAAAAGACATAAGTGTGACATTGTTTATGTTTCGACCCACAAGAAGGAATCTCACTCTCTTCTCTGACACACTTGATTTTTTCAGTGTGACAGAAATGGATTTTCAGTCTTTTTTTCCCACGATTTTCATTTAACAGAATGAAAGATCTATGAGCACAACTACTGCTCAGCACAAAACACATCTATTCTACAGGCAACTCCAGTATAATACCTTATTATATCATTTAAAAAGACAATGAAGGCACAAATAACATTCAAGCTAAATATAGTGCATTTTATTATGAAAACAATGCAGAATATTCTACTAAAAGGGTTCATTGTTTCATGGTTTTAGGGATCGTTTCTCTTTCTCTCCGGAGCAGTGAGTGAACGCACGCTTGGTAATCCTCCCAGGAGGTTTGCACGCCATTTTCATCAGGTCTCCTCTGCCCGCCACGCGGGTTTATGAGAAAACCGTCACTGGTTCTGGGGGGAAGCAAACTGTGTCCATCAGTTCTCGGAGAGCCGGAGAAAGGAGCGAAAGGGAGGGAAGATCACCGGGTGAGGAGGGAGTCCTCCGTGGGGCGGTTACAAGTATTTGGGAAGATCTTTCTCTACCACCTGGAAGGAAAGCAAGGGCAGAACATTAGTCAGACCATGCAAATCATTTTGCTTGTTTTTTAGGTCATAACAGGAGATGCATAGGAAACATTTAAAACTAGTAAAGATACACAAGAGTGCTACAGTCATGATAAATACACATGTAGTATCTGTGGCAAAGTACGTACACTTGGATCATCCAGGGGCCCGTATCTCTTCATCACCTGACCCTCTCTGTTGATCAAAAACTAAGGAGGAAGACGAAAAAGAGGAAACTCAAACACATGGAATTTATGAATGAAGAGATTATTTCTGTTTTTCTTTTAGAGTCAAACAAATGTTGGAAGCATTTAAGCATTTACAGGCTTCTTCCAGGAAGTATTATGGACTCATGATAGTAAACACAATTTAGTCATATAGATACAATAAATGACACACGAAGCTTATTTACCTTGGTGAAATTCCACTTGATACTACTGCAGGAAATAAAACAAATCACATGTTCCGATTTTTATTGTCAATGACACATGCCCTGTGTATTGAAATTCTTGTGCTTGCCTTTTCTGGAAAGCCGACCAATTTTAAAATTAAAATAAAACTACAATATTTACATAAATGTACATGAAATAAAAATAAAAATGAGGTAAGGGGAAAAGTGCAAAACTGAGCAGGTTGTAAAAGAAAAACTTAAATTAAATTAAATGTGTGCAATATAAATTAACAGTACAGTAACAGTAAAAAAGCATCGCTGTGTTAAAAGGCGTCACCACGGCTTAAATAAACGCGTTGTGAGATCCACACGTACTTTCCCATGAAGCCTTTCCCGTTGGGCTGGTCCTTGAGCCACTTCCACAGAGGGTGAGCCGTGGGCCCGTTCACCTCGATCTTGCTGAACATGTCGAACCGAGCGTTGTAGGACTGTGCAAACTGCTTGATTTGAGTTTCATTGCCGGGTTCCTTCAAAATAAAACAAGTTAACAGATATAATCGAGCAGATCAGCACCATTAATGCTGGTTTATTATGTCTGAATAAGACAATGCTGATGAAACAACAACAACAACAAAATGTTTTGTGATTAAAATCTAGATAACACAACAATCTAATTGTATTTTGTAACAACACACAATGGCATGTTATTCCTTGATTGAATCACAAATTTACCTGGTTCCCGAACTGGTTGGAAGGGAAGGCGAGGATGTGTAGACCTCTCTCAGAGTACGTAGCGTGCATCGCCGTAAACTGAGAGTAGTTCACCGGGGTTTTACCTCATTTAGAGGCAACGTTGGTGATGATGACGACGTCCCCCCTGAAAATACAAAGACACACGTGTCCTGGTGGGCTAATGGAATGGAAGGCTGCAGCAAATTTAAGGGTTATATACATATTATTATTTAACACTGTTATTTTAATACACACATTTATGTTGTTTCATGACAATCAGGTCATATTTAGAAAAAAACAGATAGATTTACCTGTATTTTTCGAGGGAAACCAAGTTGCCATCAATATCTGTGGCTGAGAAGTTATAAATCGATGTGGCCGTCTGCCAGTCCTCTGTTGGAGCAGACTGTGAGGAAAGACAAGAAACTTGAGTGGTGGGAACTTCAATCCAACAAATCTCACACATAATAAATACTTGAAAATAAAGATCCATTCAGTTGAACCCAATGGGACTCTGTTCCTCAGAGGCGACATCACAGCTCGTTTATTTCTTACCATCGCCTGCAGCAGGACAGAGAAAAGGACAGTGGACCCTAAGAGACGCATGTCTGTCCTTCAGTAAGGTCCTCAGAAACAAGCAGGCGATCAGATCTGTACGAGTGTCAGACCACAAGACCCGACAGAGAAGGCAGACGAGTGTCCTCATGTACGAGGGGACGGATTGATCATTAACGCAATTGATCGGCCAATCGGCTCCCTAATGAACCCACGTGACACGCGCTGACGCACCGCGGTCCACAGTCCGCCGCGATGTCACGACCGCGTGGAGTTTATGCACCTCACGAAAGCAAAGAATGGCGATGTGGGGCGAAGGGCGACGGTGTGAAGAAATGTATAAACTCATGATATAAGGAGCTTAACGTCAGAAGGAAAAACAAAACGTCGCGTCATTCTGCCAAATAATCACAAACTGGAAAAGCAGAATAATCGCTGAACCAATAAGAAAGAATAAACAACAGAGTGAACTGTTGGGCAACACGCTGATCGCGTTCTTATGCAAGTATTACCCAATGGTCAATGTTTTGAACGTATGATAGAAATCTGATCTCGGGGAAGAACAAATAATAATTAGATTAAATAAAATAAAAAACGAATCAATAATTTTTCATTCCACAGATTTGTATAATCCAAATCGTGTTAATGTCACGTTCAATCAGACCTGTAAACTGTGTTTGTTGTGCTCCGTTTGCTCTCTAGTTGTCTGTCACACTGTTATTGCAACTCGACAGGTATCACATGTGTACCTTATGGACTGTGTGAATAATGCAGATGAAAAATTGCAGTGCAGGTATTCCTGCAGAATAATATGTTATGTTAATAATATACGTCACTGATCTGAACAGATGCTTTGCCTTATGATTCAAAATTTACAAATAGGAAGTACAGAAATATATAAAGAAAGGGGACAAGATAAATATATAATACATGTTTTGGGCGTGAAAAACATTTATATTCGAGACACGCAATTCCATTTAAATCGAAATTAAGTACATTTACTTCAGCGCAGTGCGTATTTACAGCTTCAACACACTCCAGACGACTGTGTGTATCGCTCCTTATGATCGCTTAAAGGGTTGCTGGTGAACTTAAATGAATTTCCATTGCTTATTTAATAAGATATTAGCTGTAACCAGCCTAGTGTTGTGAAACCTTTCATTCTCTGTACCTGCTGATGCTTTTCTCAGAACAGTAAGCCCATCAGCTGATATCAGCTGCCATGATGGGGGGGCTGCTGCTGCTGCAACATCCGGGTCTCCAAAGCCAGCTGATATAATGTGGGCCGACCCGTGCATTCCTCCAGCACGCTGCGTTAAGTAATATGCACATAAACACCACACTGCCTCAGTATAGTGGTTTAGAATCGTGCCCCCACCAAGACAGTTCCCAAACTGAATGAGGAACCGGGGAAGTAAAAACAAAGACACGAGGTGCATTACAGTACCGAATAAGTCTTACTTTACCAAAATAGCATTCACCATCCATTGGTACTGCGGGTTTTACGCAAGCAAGAAAATTACAGAAGATTCACACATTCCAACCAGCGAGTACGTTGAGTTTACTTTACCGTTGAGGTTAAACCAAAGTACAGTGCTATCGCCAGCAGCGCTGCACTGCTCGCCACAGCCCCAAATATCAAAACAGCACACAATGGCCTCATTGTTTCTCCCAAAAAAGCCGCATTTGATCCATTCAGGAGCTAAACCGAAGACGCCTGACTGCGCCCAGCCGTTTGTTGTGAAACCGCAGCGGACACGAGCGGGGCGAAACTGTCAAAATTCAACGATTGAAGAAAATATAAATTATAATTATCACTTTTAGTACAAATGTGGTTATAATCGTAGTATGAATACTGCTATTATAATTTTTAAACATGTAATAATAATAATTGTTAATATTTGAAAAAATACTCGTCAAACTCCACCCACACGCTTGGTGTGACGTCATCAGATTGCGCCGATCAACTGAAACCTGCGTTGCTGATAAATTACAGTAAATAATCTTTAGACAAAAACTACACAAGTGAAACATTTAAGACAATATGGACGACGAAGAGGAAACCTACAGACTTTGGAAGATTCGTAAGACCATCATGCAGGTCCGTTATGTGTTTCTTTTTTGTGTCTAAAAAATGTGTCTATTTCGGCTCAAAAACACAAAGTGTTTCTTTAAGTGTAAAGAATGTTATATCAATACTTTATTTGTTGACAGTGCACCGCTTTAAAATACCAGAACTAATTGCATAATTATAATTAATTCCCAATACTATAATATCTCTATATCTATTATCTTGTAACTAAACTAACATGAGCTGTGTTTTTGGGTTTCACTCTGCTTTAATTACAGTCCGTTATAAATTTATTTACAGGAATCTGTAGTTTTCCTGGCTAAAATAAAACAGACAATTTTTTTGCTTGAATCTTTCAATGTTGTTTATAAGTAAAACACATTTGTTGCTTGTAATATTTTATTACACAGCTATATCCGATTGTGATCAGAGATTTTTACCATTTCACAACGTTTAATTTAAATTATTCTCGGTGGCCTGAAAAGGTTTCAGTGAGCCGTATTTCATATGCGCATGAAAAGAAGAGGAAAATACAATTTTTTACCTCCACGTACGGATAAAATCGCCGTGCGAGTCTCAATCATAGTCTTATTACATGGTCTAAATGTTTAATCTGCCTGTTTCGACTGGGTTTGGATCAAAACTGTGCCTTTCGTCTTTGTATTGATTAGATGTGATAAGGGTCCAATATCCAAAAGACATAACTGTGACATTGTTCATGTTTCTACCCACAAGAAGGAATCTCACTCTCTTCTCTGACACACTTGATTTTTTCAGTGTGACAGAAATAGATTTTCAGTCTTTTTTCCCATGATTTTCATTTAACAGAATGAAAGATCTTTGAGCACAACTACTGCTCAGCACAAAACACATCTATTCTACAGGCAACTCCAGTATAATACCTTATTATATCATTTAAAAAGACAATGAAGGCACAAATAATATTCAAGCTAAATATAGTGCATTTTATTATGAAAACAATGGAGAATATTCTACTAAAAGGGTTCATTGTTTCATGGTTTTAGGGATCGTTTCTCTTTCTCTCCGGAGCAGTGAGTGAACGCACGCTTGGTAATCCTCCCAGAAGGTTTGCACGCCATTTTCATCAGGTCTCCTCTGCCCGCCACGCGGGTTTATGAGAAAACCGTCACTGGTTCTGGGGGGAAGCAAACTGTGTCCATCAGTTCTCGGAGAGCCGGAGAAAGGAGCGAAAGGGAGGGAAGATCACCGGGTGAGGAGGGAGTCCTCCGTGGGGCGGTTACAAGTATTTGGGAAGATCTTTCTCCACCACCTGGAAGGAAAGCAAGGGGAGAAGTTTACATTAGTCAGACCATGCAAATCATTTTGGAAGACGAAAGGTACACAAGAGTGCTACAGTCATGATAAATACACATAAAGTATCTGTGGCATAGTACGTACACTTGGATTATCCAGGGGGCCGTATCTCTTCATCACCTGACCCTCTCTGTTGATCAAAAACTAAGGAGGAAGACGAAAAAGAGGAAACTCAAACACATGGAATTTATGAATCAAGAGTTCATTTCTGTTTTTCTTTTAGAGTCAAACAACTGTTGGAAGCATTTAAGCATTTACAGGCTTCTTCCAGTAAGTATTATGTACTCATGATAGTAAACACAATTTAGTCATATACAGTTGTGGTCAAAAGTTGACATTCACTTGTTAAGAACATAATGTCATGGCTCTCTTGAGTTTCCAGTTATTTCTACAAGTCAGTTTGGTTCTTTTATGACTTCATTATTGGTTAACAGAAAAAGGGACAAAATCTGCTAGGTCAAAATTATACATACAGCAACATGAATTAGCAATTTTGGTGACTTGAAAGTTGTGTCAATGAAATGAGCTTCATGGCTCTTAACTTATTGTGAGTGATTATGAGTGACCACATCTGGTGACTACACCTGGTGACTTCTCTGAGGCCATTTAAATATGGCTTATTGGATACAGATGCTACAATGGGAAAGTCAAAGGAGCTCAGCATGGATCTGAAAAAGCGAATCATTGACTTGAACAAGTCAGGAAAGTCACTTGGAGCCATTTCAAAGCAGCTGCAGGTCCCAAGAGCAACAGTGCAAACAACTGTTTGTAAGTCTAAAGTTCATGGCACTGTTTTCTCACTGCCAAGATCAGGAAGAAAACGCAAGCTATGACCTGCTGCTGAGAGAAAATTGGTCAGGATGGTGAAGAGTCAACCGAGAACCACCAAAAAGCAGATCTGCCAAGAATTAGAAGCTGCTGGAACACAGGTTATCAGTGTTTTGCATCTCCATGGACTGAGAGGCTGCCGTGCAAGAAGGAAGCCCTTGCTCCAAAAGCGGCGCCTTAAGGCTTGACTGAAGTTTGCTGCTGATCACATGGACAAATAAGACCTTCTGGAGGAAAGTCCTGTGGTCAGACGAAACAAAAATCGAGCTGTTTGCCTACAATGCCCAGCAATATGTTTGGAGGAGAAAAGGTGAGGCATTTAACCCCAAGAACACTGTCACAAATTCTCCATCTCATTAGTTTTTTCCCGCCTGCATTCTTGTCAATTAACTCTACTCATTGTCATTCCAGATCCTGTCATCAACAAGAAATCACCTCATTCTCTTCACCTGGTCCTCATGCCCTTCCCACCCTCCCAACCCATTCCCTCATTAGCCCCTCACTATATAGGTCCCCACACTTCCACTTGTCCTCTGCCAGATTGTCTTATGTGCATGCCAAGTTTTTCAGCGGTTTTCCGATTACCGATATCCCGTCCTGACCTAGCCTGCCTTCTCTTGAACACAAACTCTTCGCCTGCCCCTTTTTTGGATTTGTTTGCCTGTCGGATTGCCATCCTGTTTCTGAACTCTGCCTGTCGCCGTTTACGGATTTCCTGCCTGCCCCTCTGGATTTGTTTGCCCATTGGACTGCTATCCCGGTTTTGACCCTGCCTGTATAAGTAAAGAACTTTTGATTGGATTCTGCCTCGGAGTTGTGCTTTTGGGTTCCAATACCTGTAACCCTTACAAACACCATGCCTACCGTCAAGCATTTTGTGGTAGTATTGTGCTGTGGGGCTGTTTTGCTGCCAATGGAACCGGTGCTTTACAGAGAGTAAATGGGATAATGAAGGAGGATTACCTTCAAATTCTTCAAGATAGCCTAAAATCATCAGCCCCAGGTTGGGTCTTGGATGCAGTTGGGTGTTCCAACAGGACAATGACCCCAAACACACATCAAAAGTGATAATAATTATAGAATGCCTAAATCAGGCCAGAATTAGGGTTTTAGAATGGCCTTCCGTCCTGACTTAAATCCCATTGAGAACATGTGGACATTGCTGAAG